ACAATGCTGTTTTTTGTTACAAGTTCAGGAGGAAGACCCCGTGAGTGCAGTGCACCAGCATCAGGAGCTTCAAATGCAGCAGCAGCACCACGCAAGGAGAGGAGCGAGGAGCATAATAACATTACGCATCTCACGCTGTCATCAGTGTGAATGCGAAGCAAGTCCCCGTGAGTGAGGAGAGGAGCATAATAACCTTACGCATCTCACGCTGTCAGCAAGGGAGAGAATCTTACGCCTTGCGGTTGGAATGTGAGTTCGCCTCGTCAACATCAATGCGAAGCAAGTCCCCGTGAGTGCTGTTCTCCGCCTGCAGCATCTGCTCGTCCCCATCGCTCCACCCATTCCCGATGATGAACCGAAACACCAGCCCCGTTGCTGCTTCCACTCTGGGGAACATGCGATTGGATGAGGACGGGGAGTGGGGGAAAAGGGGAAAAGGGGCAGAGAGGGCGCATTGCATCACTGCGCAACCTCCGCGCTCCACCCATTCCCCATGATGAACCGAAACACCAACCCTGTCTCTGTTTCCACTCTGGGGAACATGGGGAGAAGGCGGGAAAATGATGCAGAGAGGTCACGTCCCGTCACATCATATCCTCCGCGCCCCACCCACACCAGCCAAGTTTCTGTTTCCACTCTGCGGAAACATGCGATTGGGGGAGGACGGGGAGGCGGGGGAAGGGGGAAAAGGGGCAGAGAGGGCGCATCACATCACTGCGCATCCACCGCGAAATGGGGAAAGGGGGGGGAAAAGGCGCAACCGGAACACAAATCACATCCGACGCACATCGCAACGCGCTCCCGCTAAAACAAGGCTGGAGTTTTGGTTCGTCATCGGGCGTCCGATGACGAACCAAAACACCAGCCTTGTTCCTGCCGTGCCGAACCAAAACTCCAACCGCCTTGTCGCTGCTGCTTCCACCCTGGGATCGGAACACCAAAGTTGTCGCTGCTTCCATCCTCGCCACACGCCAAGGTGGTGGGGTGGGGAAATGGGGATTGGGGGGGGGGGGGAAGGGGCAGAGAGAGCACGCTCCTTTCCTCCTCGTTCTCCTCGCTCCTGCCGTGGCCCAACTGAAACACCATCCGCCTTGTCGCTGCTTCCACCCGGGGAGACACGCCAAGGTAGTGGGGTGTGAGGGTCAATCATCGGGCACGGCAGGAGAGTAATGGTCGAGATGTGCCCTTTCTCTACTCCCCCCCTTCCCCTTCCCCCACCAACGATACACCTCATGGCGGACATCACGCCTCTACCCCATGCTCCCACCCCATGCCCCCACCCCATGCCCCCACCCCATGCCCCCACCCCATGCTCCCACGCCATGCCCCCACGCCGTTCCCCTACCGCGCGTGCTCGTCGGGCGTGCCGGGGAACCACGTGTCGCGAAGGAGCGCGCGCCGCTCGCGCCTGGAGAAATCGGTGAACATGCCGACGAATCCCACCACGCGCTTCCTGCCCGGGTACCGCAACCGGTCTGCACTTCTCCCGGCGTCGATTATCCCTCGCGGCGGTTCCGCCTCGTCCACACCCCGCGGCGGTTCCACCTCTTCCATTCCCCGCGGCGCTTCCGTTTCTTGCATCTCCCGCGGCGCTTCCGTTTCTTGCATCCCCCGCGGCGCTTCCGCCTCGCTCCCCCGCCGCAGTTGATCCGCTTCATCCATCCCCCCCAGGTCCGCCTCCGAATCGTCCATGCTCCCTCGCGGTTCCGCCAACGGTTCGATCGCGTCGAGCGCCGCAGCGGCCTTCAACTCATCCAACGATTCGGATTCGATCGCCGCAGCGGCTTTTAACTCATCCAACGAATCGGACTCGACCGACGTCCACGCGGGAGCGAGGCAGCTGTATCGGAGCACGAGGATATGTAAAACGAACAAGAGCGGGATGGTAAGTAGGAGTAGGAGGAGGGACCACGACACGCGCGACGATGACGCGAGCGGCACTCGCGGCGATGGGGTGAGCGGCAAGCGCGGCGACTCGACGGACGATTGATCCTTGGGGCTCATCAGCGGGTAGAACCAATGAAAGTTCTTTATTGAGTCACTCGCGAGTATCTTATGAGGCGCCTCGAATACCATCAAGAGATAACCGCCGTCAGCGAACGGCCTTATTGAAGCCTTCACCGGGACAGCCATTCTGAGAGCGGCAGAACGGGCTTTCGTTTGGCGAAGAGCCTTATTGACGCTTGTGCGGCGCGGCGAACTCAGGAGTTGAGGCTATCGTTTGGGAAAAATAAAACAAAGCATTTGGACCTGACGAGCAGCCATATCGTTCGAGTGTATCTGGAGGCACCAGGTGACGAGACGAGACGGACCCCCCTCGACAGTTACTGCGGCCACCAACTCGCAAGGCTCCATCGACGATGCCTCGATGATGACCCCGGTGAGCACTTGCCGGCCAACGTCGTCAATCTCAGTGCGGTGAGGGAGTGAGGTGAGGAGGAATGGAAGTTGTGTTGTGTGGAGTCGAGCCGAATGCGGATGAATGGAGGTCAAGGAGTTAGGGCAACTTGGAATGGATGGACCAAAAGCGGTCGTTGACTTGACATGCCGTGAGTCGTGACAACGGGGCAGTGCCCTGATCTGAAGACCAGATATCGATGGTACTCGCACGTGCGCAATCCTTTCGCCTATCGGATTATATAGAGGATAATTACTTGAGGTGTTGTATTCAGGTTCTAGCAATGTATTGCACATGTTCGCTATAATAAGGAATCTCACGAGTTACCTTTTCCTTCTCACTATCCTTCATACCACCTACAGCACCGATTGCCCACCTGTGAACAATCACTGCAGGTACCACCTCGAAGGTTCTGTCTATGTATTAGCAAAGAGGCATGTCCAGCAAAGCCACACGAAACCAAGCACTCAAATGTTGGCGAGAAAATGACAGCAGTGGATTGTGTCCTGTGCACATTTCCTAAGTCCATCACACACATGTTACACTGTTTATTCCCAGAGCATGCAGGATTTTGGTGTAGTAGCTGCTTCATTTGGACATTAGGATTGCAGAGGTCCGCACAAAGGATGGGGGCTCCCAAATAGCCCCAGCATAGGATGGGGGGACTGTGGAGGAGAATAGCGTTTCCCGCACAGCCACAACTGGCATATACATTATTGGCGGAAACCCCAGTTCGTGTGGTGACCCTTTATTATACATGATACAATGGATCACAGCACACTGCGCAATCGAAGATGGTTGGCATTGGCATACACACTTGTATTTTGTGGGCATCTTCTGAATCAATCACATATGGGTCCCAGGGCACGAGAAGTTGCAATGAAGCTTCCTCATCTGCACAAAAGTCCGGCACAGATGGGCTCCCAGAGAGCCAAAGCATGGCACTTGCAGTCCTTCTGACAGAGAGCCATGGTCAATCAATCAAACAAGGGATATAATGAGCAGGGGTCAAAATGTGTGTCTCCCAGAGCACGAGGCGTTTCGATGTAGCTGCCTCATCTGCGTATAAGGCCGGCAGAGGCCGGCACAGATGGGCTCCCAGAGAGCCACAGCATGGTCTTCTCGTGCACCACATCAAAGGCAAGCATCCACGCTCCCACTGACACGTCCTCATTTGTGAACATGCTCAGCCTGCGATCATGAGAGCAAGGAGACCGGAAAGGGAGAACAAGAATGGGGGTTCAGCCTGTGATCATGAAACACAAAAAAAAAAAAAAAAAAAAAAAAAAAAAAAAAAAAAAAAAAAAAAAAAAAACAGAGATGGGACAGCAGACCTTTCTTGCAGTGCATGTACTGAATCCTATGAATCACTCCCTTGAAACGCCTACCTGTTGAGTGTATTGGCTGTCGGCCACCTCGAAGCACCTACCACTCACGTCCGACCTCATTGCAAGAGAAGCACGACCATCCTCGTTACCTGAGGCATGCATGACTAACCCACCCTTGTGAACGCATAACTCACCCACCCTTGGGAACGAAGTTGAGAATGTTTGAAAGCACACATGACTCGGTAACTAAGTGCATGCATAACTCACCTTGAGAGCATCGACCACTTGTAGGAGAGGGAGTAGATGGTACAGTGGGCATGCAGGAGGAGATACCATGCACGACCCACCACATTGCAAGGCAAATGCAAGACAAGGGCAACTCACCCGTCCTCAGGAATGGCGTTGAGAATGCTGACGATGTCGTGGGAGAGGGTGTAGATGGCACTGAAGGCATGCAGGAAATAGTGCGACCCCAGCAGCCATGACTTGCGCTCATACCTGCACAGGGCAGAACACAAGAGAACAAACACCGGAACATGCGAGGGATGAGTACGAGAGCAGCAGGCGATCTCGTCTGGGTTGACTGCAGTAAGCAGGTTAGGGATACGTTGTTGCATTATTCACAAAAAAAAACTGGTTCAAGTGCGTTGAACGTCACAATAGGAATATTAGAAGCACATTAGGACATTCGTAACACAATAGGAACGTTAGAACGATTTGACTCCTTAAAAAAAACGAGTAGACCGTATGATGTATGGACTGAGAAAATGGGTGAAAGGAGTGATAGTGAGCGTGGTTTATAAGTAACTCACCACTTTACATTAGGGTTAGTGCCCACAATTCCCTTCTTCATGCATCCAATGTAGGTTCGAGGTGACCGCCTTGGCTTGGCAATCAGAGATGAGAGGCGGTCTGCAAGGCCGCACAGAAACAGGCAGCAGAGGGCGGGACTCGTGTGAGCAGGGACTCTCAATGTTGCTAGCTACACATGAACAGCATCACCTTCTTAAAAAAAAAGGAGGAAAAACAACAACAACAACAATCACAATTACCCATCTGCCTGACTAAGGCCCTGTTTCGTAGCACTTGGTTTCAGTCACGTCTTGACCTCACAGAGCCTGGGAAGAGGTAAGCTTTAGTAGAGCGGGCGCACCTGGTAACCTGGTAATCTGTAACCTGGTATCCGAGTGGGCGCACCTGGAATGGGAGTGAGAGCACCTGGAATGAGGAAGATGTCGCCTGCCTGACTTAAAGCCTTGTTTCATTATGTTTACCTGGAATAAGGTAGATGTCGTCGTCTGCCTTGATGAGAAGTCGGCTTCATAGAGCTTGAAGAGTGACGTGAAGAACACGAGACTGGGGGATGGGGGAGAGAAAATCACAAGAGCAGGAGGAGGAAAGGAGTGCTGAGAGTTTGACAACGCTGGTAACAAAAAAGGATTTGGATTCTGGAGACAAAAAAGTTGTTACTATTTTACCTCTGGATAAAAAGACGAAGCTACCAATGCAGAAAAGAATACTAGGCAGCAGCAGGGGCAAGGAGGGTAAAAAGCTGGGAGTTTCACAGAAGGTTCCTCAAAAGTGATGGGGCGAGGAGGGCAGAAAAACTGGGAGTTTCACATGCAGCAGCACAGCACCGCGTGAGGAAGAAGCATTCTAACAACGAGCACCTCACATCGCAGCCGCGCGAGGTTCTTACGTCTTGCGGTTGAGGTTGAGGTACGACTCTTGCACGTCGATGCGAAGGAAGTCCCCGTGAGTGCTGTTCTCCGCCTGCAGCATCTGCTCCAACTCCGGCATCGCCGCGTGGCCCACTATGAACCGAAACACCAGCCCCGTTGCTGCTTCCACTCTGTAAAATACGTGAATGGAGGAGGGCGTGGAGGGGGAAAGGGGTGAAGGGAGGGCACACAGCTCATATCACACTTAGCTTCGTTTTTTTCGTTGTTTTCCGCCCTTGAATATTCTGCGATGTGCTTCCACACCCAGGAATACGTTTGACGGAGGGGAAGGTGAAGAGAGCCTGGGACATCCTATCCCATCCATCCCATCCAACCGCATCCCATCCCATCCCATCCCATCCCATCCCATCCCATCCCATCCCTCGCCATTGCCCCTACGCGTCCCAATGAATGGCCTACCGCGCGTGCTCCTCAAGAGTGCCGGGGAACCACGTGTCGCGGAGCAGCCTGCGCCTCCTGCCGTTTCCAAAACCGGTGTGAACCCCGACGAACCCCAGCACGCGCTTCCTGCCCGGGTATTGCAACCGGTCTGCACTCCTCTCGTCCATCCCTCGCGTATCCACCAACGATCCGACCGCCGCGGTAGCCGTTGGGGCCGTAGCCGGCTTTAAATCCGAGTCCGGCGGCAAAAAATCCGAGTTCGGCGGCTTTGAATCCGAATTTGCTGGCTTTAAATCCGAGTCTGACGGCATTAAATCCGAGTCCGGCAAATTTAACTCCGAGTCCGGGGGATCGAACTCCGAGTCTAGTAATAGCGGCTCCAGTAACTCGGATCTGCTCGTTGTCCATGAAGGAGCGCCGGCGGCGGGGCAACGGTATCTTATAACGAGGACATCAAAAAGGGCGAAGAGCGGGACGGCTAGTAGGAGTAGGAAGAGGGACCATGACAAGCGCCATGCGACTCCGGCTCGCGGCGATCGCGGCGCGACGGGCGACAGATCCTTGAAGCTCATTGTGGGTAGTAGTAAGGCCACAGACGAACGGTCTTAATAAGGCCACAGACGAACGGTCTTAATAAGGCCACAGACGAACGGTCTTAGTAAGGCCACAGACGAACGGTCTTAGTAAGGCCACAGACGAACGGTCTTAATAAGGCCACAGACGAACGGTCTTAGTAAGGCCACAGACGAACGGTCTTAGTAAGGCCACAGACGAACGGTCTTATTGGTTCTTCCACGAACTCTCGGGACGGAGTTCTCGGAATTTTCGGAGAGGGAATCGAGGAGGCACTATGGCTTGTGCTCTTGAGGTTGTTATTATCTCGTTTGGGGAGAACAATGGGAAGAAAAAGAACGTTTTCCATCCCAGCGCCGAGCACTGCCCTTTCTTATTCCCGTCAGAAATGTGTTTGCGCTCCTACGTAGTAGTACTGTACACTGCTGCCACTGCCACCGCTTCCCTGATGACCTCAAGTCTAGGGCTTTCATGGCATGACATGACATGACGCGCACTCTAATGTATCCACGATGTGGTCGTGGCGGCGGGCGCGAACACCCTGGTGTTCGTGTTTTTTTCCGCATACGACCTCTCGCACACTCGAACGTGCTCGGCGTTCGAAATCGTCGGAGTGACGTCCATCGACGTCTCACACTGCCAGTCAAGGGATTGACCTCGGGTAGAGATAAACTAAAATCCATCTGCTGCTGATGGCTATCGCGCGTCGGGGTACAGTCACGTGCTTGTTCCCTCGCGAAGCGCCGGCCATGCAAGTGGGATTCAGTGTTCTTGCGACTAAAGTCTTCTCGGGTCCGTACATATCCAGATCAGATACAGTAGAATACTTCGCTTGACTACTGACTTGGCTGAGTGGGGTTGTGGGAGGGAAGGGAGAGTGGAGAGGGATGAATGATGCTCCTCACTGCTGCTGCTGGTTGCCACCGCATTCCACCACGTTTATGTTTTCTAAATCAGTTCAAAACGCATCCCACCGCGTCTTTACCTGGGATCTAGCTGTGCCGGCCGAAAAGGTGCTGCCTCGTGATAGAGACGGTGTTGTCACTCGCACGGTGCAAAGCACCTTGCCCCTATCGCTCATATCTTCTTTATGCGATACAGGAGAGCATGATACATGACAATACAAGGTGTAATGTCTTTAAAAATAAATATATATATATACACCTTAGCATAATATTGCACCTGGTGGGTGATTATCACGGTTGTTAGTATCCAGCACATATGTCAAATGAGGGCTTGCCGTTGCTTGTAGATGATCTCTCAGGGTTGCGATGCTAAGCATTTTCGACACCAAAAAGGGTTAAGGGTGATGTACTTGGGCTTTAAATTGGCAGTTTCCCAGTGCAAGCAGGGTTTTCATGAAGCTCCTTCATGCGCACATCAGGGTTGCAGACGCCAGCACACCTGAAATCCCAGATAGCCACAGCAGTGGGAGTGCATTCTGTCTGGCAAAGAGACGGCGCTTTCTGATGCGACACGTTAAAGGCAAGCATCCACGCTCCCACACTCGCATCCTCGTTCACAAACATCCTCAGCCTGCGACCGCGAGAGAGCAACGAGACAGGAGATGGGAGAACAAGGTACGACTTTTGAGGAGCAAGTTCGCAACTTGTTTTTTGAGGCGCCTCAATGCGAGCATCCACGCTCACACACTCGCATCCTCGTTCACAAACATCCTCAGCCTGCAACCGTGAGAGCAGAGCAACGAGACGGGAGATGGGAGAACAAGGTACGACTTTTCAGCAACAAGGAACTTTTGAGCAACAAGGAACAGGGCGCTCCCACACTCGCGTGTTCGTTCAGGAACATACTCAGGGGATAAGAGTTGGTATAGTGACAGAAACAGAGATCAGAGAGCAAGAGTTGGGCTTAGTACAGTGCTTGAACTGAAGTGTATGGTACCTGTCGGGGTTGGGTGCATGCCTGTTGAGTGTACGGTATTGACTGCAGACCACTCACAAGATAAGCACGGCCCTCCTAGTGACAAGGCATGCACGGCTCACCTCTCCCACCCTTGGGAGTGTAGTTGAAATTATTGGCAAGGCATGACTCAGCAATCTAGAGAAATCTCAGCAAGCTCTCCAGCCTTTGGGGGGGAAGTCGAGGAGTTAAACCACGTCGTACGAGAGGGGGTAGATGGGACCGTCCATTGGCATGCAAGGAATACCATGCACGGCTCACCTCGTTGCAAGTCAGGAGCAATCTAGAGAAATCCCTGCGACCTTACCAGCCTTTGGGGGGAAGTTGAGGAGCTTAACCACGTCGTACGAGAGGGGGTAGATGGGAGGGTAGATGGGACCGTCCATAGGCATGCAATGAATACCACGCACGGCTCACCTCGTCGCAAGTCAGGAGCAACTCACCAGCCCTTCTTTTCAGGCGCCTCAAAAACAAGACAAGAGCAACTCACCAGCCGTTGGGGAGGAAACTGAGAATCTTGACCGAGTCGTACGAGAGGGAGTAGATGGAACCAGATGCGTACTTGAAATACTCCGGCCCCAGCAGCCACGCCTGCGGCTCAAACCTGCACATAAAAGCCAACCACAAGGATATTTTATTTTTAGGCACGAGGCATACAGATGATACTCTGGCCCCAGCAGCCACGCCTGGGACTCATGCCTGCACAGAAGAGCCAACCACAAAGATATTTCATTTCAAGGCGCCTCAAAGGAGGCATACAGGTTATACTCCAACCCCAGCAGCCACGCCTGGGGCTCAAACCTGCACAGAACAGACCGCAAGAAGAAAGGCGGAAAGGAAGCACAGGTAGAGGTTAGGGACGGGTAGGAGAGGGAGTAGATGGAACCAGACGCGTACTTGAAATACTCCGGCCCCAGCAGCCACGCCTGCGGCTCAAACCTGCACGTCGAAGCCAACCAGGGAGATATTTTAATTTTAGGCGCCTCAAAGGAGGCATACAGGTGATACTCCGACCGCAGCAGCCACGCCTGGGGCTCAAACCTGCACAGGACAGAACACAAGTGGAAAGGCGGAAAGGAAGCACAGGTAGAGGTAAGGGACGGGTAAGAGAGTGGGTAGATGGAACCAGACGTATACTGCAAATACTCCGGCCCCAGCAGCCACGCCTGGGGCTCAAACCTGTGCAGTGAAAACAGAAGCAGGAAAAGGTAAAAAACGAGTACGAGAACAGCGGTGAGCAGGTTAGAGATAGGCTGGTTACCTCTTTACATCAGAGAGATGTGGCTCATGAGAACAGCACAGCAGGAGAGGTCGTCTAGCTTGGCTGCATCTAAAAACATCAGACCTTCATGCTAGACGACTCTCTAATGTTACCTCTCTACATCAGAGAGATGTTCTCAAAACATTAGATCTTAGGAACACTAGGAGGAACACTGGCAAGACCCAACTGCTTCAAACCTGGGTACACTGTATGTTGCATGGATTTAGAAAGCAGCCAAAAGGAGTGCCAGCGAGCGTGGCCTAGGTGTATGTAACATGACAACTCACCACTTCTTCTTGGGGTTAGTAATCACAATTCCCCTTTGAAAGCATCCAATGTACGTTCGGGTTGAATTCCTTGGCCTGGCGATCAGAGACGAGAGGCGCTCTGCAGAGACGAACAGGAACAGGCAGAAGAGCGAGGGCGGGTGTGAGCGAGGGCGGGTGTGAGCGAGGACTCTCAGTGTCGCCAGCAACGTATGATGCTCATTACCAGAGCATGAGCGCATCACATCACATGCCATGTGTATGATCCGCAGCGCATCACATCACATGCCGCGCGTATCATATCATCCTCTATCATTTTCTTCACAGAAAGCTTTTCAACCACACACAATCGCATCAGGCACCTCTCCGTATGTAATCGCAACTGGAACCCCCATCTGCCTGACTCAAAACCCCGTTTCATAGCGCTTGCGTTTTGAGAGGTCGTAAAACCCCTCTTCACAGAGCCTGGGAAGATGATACAAGCAGATGTGAGATGCGACGCAAGGTGGCTTTTGAGGTGCCTCAAAAAGACCCATCTTCACAGAGCCTGGGAAGATGATATAAGTAAATGTGAAATGTAAGATGGGCGCACCTGGCATAAAAAAGATGTCATCGTCTGCCTGCCTTAAA